AGGATTTGTGTTTCAAGGGTTGGCCACCTGGATGTATTCTGGAGGCATCTTAAGAATTTATAGGTTTGGAGCAGCTACAGCTCACTGAACCATTACTGTTGGAATCACTTAAGCCTTTAAACATGCTGATCCCTTCTCAAACCCCTGCCCCAACATCGGCACTTTAAGAATGTTAAGAATTAAAACTCAGTTTGATAAATCCATGATATAATTTTCACCTTGTATCGTGTTCAGTTGTGGCTACTCTGTTTGAGAGACTACCAGAGTGTTAGAGGCTTTTAGGAAGAATAAAATCTACAACCTTTGGTTCCACACTTTCTGTATCATCCATACCAACTGGAACAATACAGAAACAAATTCAGATATATCTAGTTTTTAGGTTAATATTGTATAGCATGAACATTACAGGGTATGTAATGGGACAGATGGGAAGTTTTTACAAGCAAGTGAGAGAAACTCCGAAGTGCAAGTTATTTAGGTTGTGGTTCCATGGCAGCCTAAGCCAATCTAACTGCTGGTTCTTTTACTCCCATCATTCTCATCCCTCTTGAGAGCTCTCAACATTCACTCCCTGCAGCGCTCAGTTGACCTTTTGTGAAGCCATCTCAGCACACTAACCAGGCAGAATAGCAAACCAGCAGCTCCCCAGAACACGGAGGAGTTTTCTGATGCACTGGTAAATAGAAATGGTTCAGCTGAGGCTCTGAGGCACACTGGAATCCATGCAAGGGGCAACAGGAATCAGGAGCCAGCTGTTATACTGACCAAGGCTGGTGTGGAATCCCAGTCTGCACATTTATTAGATGATCAACATCTGCGGTGGTTATGAAGCTATTTGCAAAGCAGCTGTTTGCTCTGCTAAAAATTATGGTTGGTCATTTGCACGTTTTTACTCACGTGTTACCTGGGTCTGCCGTGTGACCAAGCACAGAAGGTTTGCCTCTGGGCACAAACGAACAATCCCTGATGAAACTTGTTTATTTCTTCGGTTACTGCCCTCAGCTATATGGTAGCACTGCCACAGAAAATGTGCTCAAAAAATAAATAACACCTCCCCAGCTGTCAATTGCTCATTGAAAAGGTCAGTTTCCCTCCTGACCCCAAATTTAAAAACTATCTTTTAAGTTAATTTAAAATAAGACACTGAATTTCACACGGGCATGTCTGAGGCATTAGTTCACCCTCCTGCCTGCTGACTCCTTAAGGGAGCAGATGCCTTTGGAAAGTAACATCTTTAAGCCACACAGCGTTTGCCAGAGCTCATTTGTCAGTGCCCTGAGGCAAGCCTTTCATCTTTCAGCCACATAATGATAGCAGAACTGCATTAGAGGTGGCTGTATTTACATGCATGAGCAATCCAGTTAAAATGCATATTTTTGCTAGCCAAAGCACCAGGCAAACTCTCCTTTGCTCACTACCAGCCAGCACAGCCATTCAGTAGGTGTTCAGAAAACTCAAACACCTCTCCTCAAAACCAGTCTTTGAAATCTTGCTATAAGCACTTGCCTGTACTCAGAAAGGTTCTGCTCAGTAGAAGCAGAACAATGCAGACTAGTCCTTTTATGAACAGATATCACTTCTTCTAGACAAAAAATGAACCCAGCAGGCAAATACAACTTCAAAGGAAGTAAAAAGATCAATCTGTCCTGGACCTCTCGGTATGCCTGATATTTTAAGTTCCAAAAGAAATTAGTCAGACTTACCACAAAAAGAAAAAAAAAAAAGACAGAAGAATGTGAGCACAAAATCAAAACTTGCTAAAAAAGCAAAATATCATCAGAGCTGGTCTTGATTTAAATAGAAAACACTTTCAGAAATACCAACATATTGTGCAGTTTAAGAGAAACACTATACTCTTAGTTTTATAATACCAATATTCACAACACCTAGAAACTGTCTGAGGAGTAATAATGGGTCGAGTACACTGGTTTTTGCTGGAAGATTGGCCATTTCCACGTAAGGACACTCAGAGATGGCACTCAGAACTTAAGATGCTTTTAGAATGGCAGAGTAATTGCGTTCCCATTACAGGACTCCAAGAACACACCCCTGTAACTAACTTTGGCACAGTGTAAGAAAATAAGGATTTACACCCTCACCAGGAACAAAGACTATGTTCAACATAGATATGGGCCTGTACTTGCATGAAGGCAGTTAATTCTGCTATCGTGGTATGACCATGCTTTTATTTGTTCAGTTCCCACAGACTTCAGTTTCACATGGTCCAATTTAAGCCCACATTCTCCCGAGAGCATTTAGTCCGGTAGAATAGTTACAGGACACACACACATAGGTTTGCATAGTAAGCAGGGGCTAACAAACTACCATGCTTTGTATTCTGCCGAGTAACTAATCTGCTTCTAAAATACTGTGGCATCATTCTCATTTCAAAAATAATATTTCTATAGACTAAAAAGCCCACATCTGCCTCCAGTCTGCAGTGATTCAAATTAAATACTTCAGCCCAGCATCATGGTGGGGATGTTTATCTGGAAGCCTGTCTAAAGAGTCTACTTAGTCTAAAGATCTACTTATGTAAAAGTAGTAAGAGATGAAAGACATGTTTTTATGTCCTCCCCAGCAACAAAGACAATTCAACTGCTGCTAGTACTTAAACAATCCTTGAACTCTCAAAGCCTTCCTAAAAGATAGTATCTTTATAAACAAACATCTGAGTCATGCAGCATCCACCTTTAAAGGAGTATCGACATTTCAGAACAGACACCCCCATGTCTTGAAAAGCAAATCACTCTTAAGCAAAAAACTAGATATAGTTCTTCATAGACTAGTTTCCTATTAAAAAAAAAAAAGTGAAGAACCTTTAAGAAAGTAATCTATCAAAAGGACTCCTTAGATTTGTTTGATCAAAATTGCTTTGTTTCAGTCAATTAGAAGTTACCTCAACACAGAGCTCTGTACAAAGAAAAATAGTTTTCAGCTAAGCTGCTCCTCCTCCCTGAGGACACATGCTAATGCTCATAGACTCCTGAAAGAAGTGCATTATCTGCACACTAGGTAAATTCACAGAAAAAAACCCACCTATTTGCTGTGGTGGGGGGAGATCTGATCCAATTCAGATCTCAAACTTCATTTAAAAGGTGGTTACAGTATAATTTCCATGTTTTAGTTTTGTCTTCCCCTAAGCCAGAAGAGAAAAAAGCCCAGGTGTATTGGGGGTAACTGTGTTGCCATCCTTCTTCCAGGTAATTGAAGTGAGGGGATTCATTCTGCCTGCAGCAGGAAGCAAACACACTTTTCAGATGACCTAATTCTTTAAGATCAGTCTGTGGGAATAAGTCATCATCCAAGTCCTACTGACCACACCTGGCAGAAACCAGGGTTTCTTCACATTGAATATTACCCACTTTTATACTGCAGGAAGGAACTTACTGAGATGAAATATAATTATTTTGACATGTTAAAACACTTTTAAAAGCCCCTGCTTGGCTTCAGTTCCATTTCCCATTTTGACAGACTCCTAAAAGTGTTAAGTCAGGACTTTACTGGAAAGGTCTCTTTCATAAGGCTCTCAGACAAAAGACCTGAGACCAAATTCTCACTTCTACAAATAATTTTTAAATCTTCCTGTAATCCAGAATACATTTCCACAACAGACTGCATACAGAGAAGCTCAAGGTTCAAAACCCTAAAATGCAAAACAGAAGTGGTGTAGTTGCACATAAGAGAGAGCTCAGACACAAAGTCAGCTTAAGCGCTGTGCACAAAGGAAGAACTGAAACCAAAATGCTCAGAGAATCCAGGAAATGAGAGCACCAGAAAAACAGAATAAATTCCATGGGTAAACTAACCCAATTCCTTTGCACAATAAAAATGCCTGTATTTTTTATTAAACTATCCCTACAAAACAGAACAATTGCTGAAGATAACTAACATGCAGCAGCAAAACGAGCTATAACAGAGGAAAGTGTCCCACTTTTTTCAACAACTTTTCACTTCTGCCAAGGTCACCTGTCTGTAGCTGCACAGGTTGCCCATCTGCTCCGGCACTGCCTGTTTGCAGCCTGGAATTGGCACCAGCTCCTGGCTGGTGATCAGAAGCATTCGCTGACATGCTGGGCTGCCCAACACAGGCATTCAAGCACCCCTTTGGAGCAGCAGCCACATTAAACTGATTTTTTTATCACATACCAGGGGATACATTCAAGTAGTTGGCAATGTGAGGGACTAACTCACTGAGTGTTTATTAGGACAGCGATCCGTGTACAAAAGCAGGAGCACACTCTCAACAACAGTTTAAGCATGAAAAGACAGAGCTTGGAGTTTGGAGCTTCTCCACCGCCCCATGAACACAGTACTGAAGTTGCTGAAAATTCCAGGACAAAGTAAAGAAGCACCTGTCTGTTCCTAAAGAAGTTTCCAAAACATTTCTTTTTTTTTTAAGCAGCAGCTTTATCATGTTTTCTTGTGTATTCTGATGGCACAGAACCACTCTAGTTTTTCTGCCACTATATGAAGAACAAGCTTAACAACACATACTCTTACAGAAGTAGCACCAATATTTCCTTATGGCTTTATGGAAATAATTTCTCAATTTAGAAAACCAGAAATGTACTTCTTTGCCTGTTTTGCTAAATAGTATTGTAATTGCCCCTCTCTAAAACCTGCTTAAGTATAAAGCTTAAGCTTTTCAGCCACTTGGTACACCAAGTCTGTCCACAGTCTCATCTCTATTTGATCCTCTGTGCAGAAGCAATACCACTGAAGGCTTCCTGTACCTCAGCTCACACATTAACCTGCCAAACCAATTTTCAGGACAGGTCCAGAAGTTACACCAAAATTGCTGCAGCCTTTTCATCTGCCAATTTAACAGCTCCACTTTTATGACTTTGTGTAGCAACCACTTATACTGCAGAACAGTGCTTTAGACAAAACTGGTTTAAGTACTTCATATACTATATTGAAAATGTTAAGAAATTCAGACCATCAAGGAAAAAAATCAGAATTATAGTATCTTAATAAAATTTTAACAGTGAACACAGTCCAGCCTTCTCTCTGGATTTATTTGCATTTCAAAAGCCAATACAAAAATGTTACATACATACCAGTCACCCCTGTAGACTAGAACTTGAGTAGTCACTGTGAATTTAGCACTGCAGTGTTTTCCAACAACGTGCAACATTTTACGTTCAGCTAAAAGGGTACTCTAATGCAATATTCCAGCCTGGGTTTTTTTCCAAGCCTTTGGCAAATGTGGAAACTCCACATGGAGTACTACTTCTGAGTAGCTCCATTATTTTTATGTAAGTGCCAGCAGGTAGCTATTTAAGTAGATTGTTTTGTTATATATAAATGCCACTACATGTATGGCTCTGCTTTACTTTCATGGCTTGGTTTAAGCCAAAACATTAGTTCTGAAAACATCTAGTTATACCAATGGCCTCATTACATGAGGTCTTAAGTAGTCAAAGCAAGTATCAATTTTAGCTACTGGGTTGTGAAGCAAAAAGCCTTTGCAAGAGACAATTAAGGCTTCCATCACCCTACCAGAGGTAAGTATGAGAAACAAGTCTAAGCCACAGGAGCATTGGTCTATTTTTGACAGTGGTATTTAAGTATTTATTAAGCTGGTTTTCATCCATTTATTCAGTTGGCTGACATCCATCTGCCACATGGAACATTTGAAAATGCAATTAACAAGCTGCTAAACTAAGGAATCTGGATAGCATTTGGTTGGATTTCTTTCTATTAACATAATGGGCAAGAACTTCTGGAATTTATCTTGCTGATACACTTCAATCCTGCCTGAAGCAAGGATGGGAAAAGGTATCCCTGCTAGTACAAAATAGTTCAAGTATGTTAAAAAGCAACTGACTATTTTTTTAGTAACAGTGTTTGCATAAGCAGAAAAAAAACCCCTTTCAGTTTCTCACCCATCTCTAGCAATATTCAAGTGAAGTTCTACTTTAATTTTTAAAATACAGAAGTTTAATTATTTAGCCAATGTAACAGTTCTGTAAACTGCATCACAGATAATGCTGCACAACTTATGATCAAGAGCAATACTAAAAGCTAAAATGTTGCTAGTGACTGCGGTAATACAGATTGGCAATGTCATCATTTCAGTTCAGAAAACATCTGTTCCTCTAAACTCCACCAATTAATATAATTTATGTAAATATTTATTAAGTCCAGTCATCATGCTACAGCATTAGGTTAATAAACCGTCTCACTGTAAGAATATACCAGCATAAGGTATGAACACAATGAAATCTATATGAAATTTTATAGTATCTTTACAGAGATACGCTTGTGGCCCATCAAATTCATACTAACATACTGCAGATTTAAAATATTTACTTGTCTTCTTAGCATACCTAATGTGTAAGAATAGCTGCTTGTTTGATACCCAAAAATAAATATAAGCTTTCAACTGAAAGCATTTATTTTCCGAGTTTTCCAAAGCGGAGCCTGAGGGGCGAAAACGCTTCAGACACGTCATCGGTCCACTTCAGTACATAAAAGCATCTCCTGTCCCAGTATTCGTTCAAATCCAAGAGATATTTTCTTCCAGTGAAATATGACCGGAGCCCTCATTTTATTTTCAGCAATTCAGTCTGTTTCCATGGCAGCACTGCGGGATTCCTTGGCCACCATGAGCCGCATGAGCTGACTGTGGAATTTCTCGATCTTCTTTACGTCTTGTGCCTGGTCTGTTCTGTACAGCAAACACTGCAAGAGAAAGTTGCTGAGTATCAGATTTCACTTGAACTGTTTTATCTTGTTTATAGTTGCAACACATTTGTGCTTAGAACACACAAAACAAGGAGAGTACTTAAATGTTCATTTGTGGCATGTTGTTACCATGAGGCAGCAGCAACACATCCACGCTGTTTCAAAATATACACATTATCGGTGTTCACATTTCAGTTTCTCCTAAACATTCATGCCTTCCATTTTGAAAACAGGGAAGCTCATAATTTATACTAATTTCTTCTAGCTCAAAAAAACTGTTAAAGATTGGGGTTTAAAGCTGTCGTTAAAGACGCTCCTCTTTGTGTTGTCTAAACATAGAGCCAGATTTTAAAACTGAAGTTACTTCCCTATTCTCTGTATTCTGAAAGCAAGTTCATTTTGCCTTTCACAGTCCTTAATGTTACACTGCCAGGGACATAAAATCAGATAGTATTTCCCACTGAAAGGGATCCCCTCCCTCAAGCAAGATCTGTTTCTAAGACAGCCTAAATAAGGAACATAGCATCTGATTAGGATAAAAAGAAACTCCTTCATGTGACAAGCCTTTAATAGCAAGGGACAAGGCTAATATGCCAGTGACTTACCACAGAAAGACTGTGGTAGTTTGTTTTTCTGCTTGGAGACTAAGCAATTCCTTATACCTGTACAGCATGAGTATGACTGCCCAGGCTGATGTAGCAAAAAACCAAAACCACCCAGAATACTCCATTCTTCAGCAACTTTTGTCAGCATTGAATTCCTATTTTAATTCAGAGGAAGACAGAAGGAAACAGTTTATTTGTCCTTCAGCTATATTAGTTCTACAGATTGAGCATTGAGGAAACTTCCTTTACCACCTTTAGAAAAGAAAACCACAACAAAACACAAAAAAACCAAAACAACCCGCCCCCCAAAAAAGCCAACAACAAAAAAACCTGCCAAAGCCACCACAAAAACAAACAAACAAACAACAAACCAAAAAAACAAAACCAATCCCCATTTCCCCCCACCTGGTGTAACATCTGTGAATGGAAGCAGGTAAGGCAACCTTTTATATACCCCAAAAGAGTTCACATTTGTGAATCACCCGACTCCAACTTCCCCTATGGAAGATTTCAGCAAAATTGCCCTTCACTTTCCCCTGTTATCAGCACCCCACAGTCCACATCTCTCCCACATTAAGTCCTATTACCCTACCAAGAAGTGCCATTACTGTTGTTTCACATCCCTCTCAGGCACTTGAAATACCAATGCCAGACTACTTTTCAAGGAAAGAAGAAACCTGATTTTTTCCAAGTCTGAAGAGAAGAGCAGAATACTGCTGCCCACCCTGGACTGCAGAAAAACAGCTACTCAGCTATAACACCACTGTTGGTCAGTCTTGAAATCACAAAGAAGGAGCTGAACCTGTGGTTGGAAGCTGTCACCACTCTAAGCAAATAAGGCCCACACTCACAGAAGTAAACATATGTTTGAAAATGCTCCTGAATTGCTTCAGCAGAAGCTACCAGTGTTGTTCCATGAAGCAAGTTCAGATGGAATGAGTCCAAGATTTCTGTAGTGCTCGTTTTCCTTGATTTGACAGAATCCTACAATAATTCTGTTGAAATCCATAAAGAACACTGAAGTGTTAGAACTTTTCCTGGACTGCACAGAGTTGAACCACAGGTCAGTGTCAATCACAAACACAGCAACTAGGGAAGGCTGAGCAAAAGGTTTTAGAAAACTGTCAGGCACTCCCAAGGCAGTGGCTAAGAGCTCCTAAGTTGACTGACAGCAAAATGCAAGTCTATGAGAGTACAACAAATCCTGAAAGGGGAATGTTTCTGTACTTACAGCTACGTCATCTGTTACTTTGATGCAGAGGTTCCCATCACAATGTCGGTATTTCAGAACAACCCGCACCTGAAATGACAAACGCTTCAAGAATTAGCACCTAGAGCTAACAATTTTCAGAACATATTGAAGGAAATCTGCCCCCATTCAGACTACCTTTTATTATAATTATGTACTACTTCCTGTTTTCACCACCTCTGTGGTGGTCCTCAGCTCTGGTGGCCACTAACCCTACAGCCAGGGTGGTGTGGAAGTTGAGCCAACACATTTCCCTACCTAAAGCGTTAAACTGGCTTTATAGCAGCAGCAGCAAGGTTAACATTGGGCACGTTCAAAAGCACAGTCAAAACAGCAATGGCAGTTGCAGAGACCTCAGTGACAGGCAGGATAAACCGTGAGAGCCAGTCGATACAAGACACCCCCTCGCTACGTATTGCACTACAGAAAAACTAACTGGAAGCTTGTGTTTATAAGCTTGAAATACTTAAAAAAAAAAAAAAAAAGTAGCTCTTCATGAAGACCTGAAAGGGATTAACTGAGTGAGGTAAGCTCAACATCACCACTTTTCTACAGTACCTGAACCGTTATCACAGTTCCTCCTGCAGCCATCTGCCCTGAGCCCAAACCTACCCAGTCCCTCTGGACCCTCAAATCACCAAAGTTCCCAAAGCCACCACGATAAAAATCCACACCCTCAGATTCTGACTATTAAATGGTTCCTCTTGAGCACAGACAGCCATAGAGACTTTGTATCTATTGTTTCTAGCCTCAGCCAGCACCAGTAACTAGAAACAAAGCAAGGTGGCCTTTGAGAACATTCTGAACTCACACTGTAAACAGGACTTTGCTGTACACTCGTGCTAATAGTCAACCAGCTCCTTCACTGTAAAACACATTTTGAAATTCCTGCTCCGGGATGGATCTCATCACAGATGTACCCTTTTTGTTCAACAAGCTGTCACCTTCTGACCACAGCACACATCCCTGCTGAGCAGGCCCTAATGCACAGGAGAGGCTGCCACAAGCAGCAGGCACAGACTTGATACATTGAGAACTTGCTCTCCCCCAAAGGCAAGACCACTTATTGCCTGGGTGGAGAACACTCACCCACCTCCCCCAGCTCTTCTTCCTTCTGTTTCCCAGCAAGCTCAATTACATACAAAAGCTCCTCAGGCTAATCCTTTGCCAAATTAAAAGGAGGGTACTTGTGTTATGATTCTGGGGCTCATATAAACTCCTTTGTAAACAGATGAGTTTATTGCCATGGATGAAAAGAGATTTCCTTTAAGAAAAGGGGAAGAGCAACTCCTGGCTGCAGAGACATCCCTCCTCTTTCACTTAATCAAATGTCACAGAGCACAAGAAGGCAAAACTGGGCAATTTTATTATCACAGATGGGTGGCAATTACATATGGTGTCTCTGTGCTAATTAAAAGGCATATGTTCATCTGCCTTAAATCATCAGATGTTAATTTAATCTTCTGAAGGTTACTCCACGTCACCTATTTTTGGTGAAGGAAACTAGGCCTTTTTTACTGAAGTTTTCTCAGGTGTGAATTCCATTACATTTTTGTGCTCCTTTGTAGCTGAATTATAATGCCTTTTCTGAAGACTGAGGTTACTTTTAATATTTACATAAAAACAGTACTCCAGAAAAAGTCACTGAAAACAAGAAGCAGTCATATACACCAAGAAGTTAAATCCTTGAGCAATTCCTCTTTGGGAAGCAAACACCTTCCAGTCTGAAACGTCACTGCAGGCAACAACGCAATGTAAGAGCTAATGAAAGCTTTCTTTTAACTTTTTCAGGAAGACAAATTCAAATGATACAGTCTTAAATGTGAACTCATAAAACAAACCAATTCTCGATACGTTCTTCATTCAGCAGAACTGAACCTCGGTTTCTATCACACAGGTACACTGGGAATAAGCACAATGGCTCTGAAGTTAAGCTCTCAAGGTTCATCCCAGTTGCTGACACCACCACCCAAAACACGTTTTTGGGGTGATAAACGAGAACTGCCCCATGTTTTGTAGAAAACGACGGTCAGGTGCAACACCAGCAAGTAACCTGTCCCTGGAGCTGCTTTTCCCCCTGTACTCAGTACTGGTAAGGCCACACCTCGAGAGCTGTGCCCAGTTCTGGGTCCCTCAATTCAGGAAGGACATTGATGTGATGAAGTGAGTCCACAGAAGGGCAACACCGCTGGTGAAGGGTCTGGAGCACAAGTCTTACGAGGTGCAGCTGAGGGAATCAGGGGTGTTCAGCCTGGAGAACGCTCAAGGGTGACCTTATCGCTCTCTACAACTGCCTGAAAGGAGGTTGTAGCCAGGTGGGGGTCGGTCTCTTCTCCCAGGCAACCAGTGACAGGAGAAGACGACATGGCCTCGAGCTACACTAGGGGAGGCTTAGGTTGGACATCAGAAGAAATTTCTTCACAGAAAGGGTGATTAGACATTGGAACGGGCTGCCCAGGGAGGTGGTGGAGTCACCGTCCCTGGAGGTGTTTAAGGAAAGACTGGACGTGGCACTGAGTGCCATGGTCTGGTTGACGTGGTGGTGTGCTAAGCCATAGGTTAGACTCGATGATCTCAAAGGTCTTTTCCAACCTAATTCATCCTGTGATTCTGTGTTTCTGCCTCCCCCGTGACTTCACCAGCCCTGCACCACAGAAACCCCTCCGAGCTCGACACCGCCCGCCGCCCCCGCCGAGCGGCGCGCAGCCGGGGCCGCATACGGAGCGCCGCTCCCGCGACCGGGACGCGCTCCTCCCTTCGCGACCCGGGCTGTCCCACCTTCATGGGGTCGGCGAGGTAGAGCTTCTCGGCGGCGCGGGTGAACTCCTCCCAGGCCTGGAAGTGCGGCATGGCCAGGCCCACTCCGCTCCCGCGGCCGCGGAAAGATGGCGCCCTGGGCGGGGAGGGGAAGGGGGGGCGGCCGCGTGAGACGGCGCCTCCCATTGGCCCGCGGGAAAGCACCACCCAATCGCGATGCTCGTGACTCGGCGCTCGTCGCCACAGCGCCCCCTGGAGGCGTGGCGGCATGGCGGCAGCGGGAGGGCTGCCGGCCCCGGGGCAGCAGGTTCGAGCCCCGCCACAGGTGGAGCGGCTGCCCGGGGCCGGACCTGCGGGTCTCGGCTAGGCCAGGCCAGGCCAGGTGCGGCTCTGTCCGCTTCAGCCTCCCACCTTCAGCCCACGGAGGCGGCGGACACACGGGTGAGCCGGCGTGGAGCCTGGAGGTTATGACGGGAGGTGAGCGCAGGGCCCCGGGCCGTGTGTCTGATGTGCTGTGTGAGCTCGGCTGGCGCTCGCAACTGCATCAATTCCCGGATTTTCCCAGGCTGCGAGGTCCTTTCTGAGGCTGGATGTTGGCTTCGTATGGAACAAAAAGGGTATTTAGGAGCCCTCGCAGGTTTCCCTGGTCCTGGCTGAGAGGTGCTCAGGAAGGGATTGCACTGGAACTAAAGCTGCTGGTTTGGGAAAGCGGCTCAACGGCATAAAATAAAATCATGAAATAAGGTCTTGGGGAGCCCTGCTTTTCAACTGTGTGTGTGCGTGTGTAAAGCATTTACATAAAACTTACTAAAATTCATTTCAAAAGGGAAATGAGGGAGAGGGAAAAAAATTCCAAGATTTCTCCCTTTATATTTTAAAATTCCATTTCCTGAAGTGATTTTTGTGCCTTCATAGCACAAAGCTTGTAGCCAGCCACAGAGCTAAGCTCTGATCATGTCACACAGCTTGTGTAACTGCTGCGATGACAATAAACACGTAAAACTTGCAGTCTCTATTTTCTATTTCGTGGGGACACACTGAGAACCCAAAAGCTCCTGATAATGACTCACAACTTCAATTTAGTTTTACTGAATGCCTCAAACCTCAACAGTGTGGCCAAACAAATAAACTGGAAGGTTTAGGGTAGATCTGCATGTGAGGGGACAAATTATGCAGGCTGTTGCAGTCTCCACTAGCAACATGGGGAAATACTATAGCTGGAGGTTTTTTTGACCACAAAAGGCACAATAGGCCCAAGAGAAAACGAAGAAATGTGGCATAGAAATAAAAGGGTGGATGGGAGGTAAGGGGAGAAAAACTAGAATGAATTTCCCTGAGTCAGTAAAGCAGAAAATAATTGTTACTGTGGGGATCAACTCTGAAAAAGTCTGCAGCGATTAGGCTGCCAAACTTCATAAATTGCAACTTGTGGGTGTTATGTGGCCTAAACAATTCTGTTAAAGGGCTTTGCACCAATGAGTGGAGGTTATGGAGAGTGGAAAGATTTAAGAATCTGGGTTTTTTTTTCTTTCTAGATTAGCTCACAAAGTTTAGATGCTTGTGTGTCTGAGAACTCAGCTGTAGAAATATAAGAGTTGTCTTTCAGAGATGCTGATAATCATCAGATCTCATTCAGGTGATAGAGGCATTGACAGAGCCTGAAGCAATCAGCCCAAACACTGGAAGCACTGGAGGGACTGTTTCTTCACTACGTTAGGTTTTGGGTAGCTATTTATAACAACAAAGTGGGAATTGTGTTTGGTAGAGTTTTACAAACATGTAGAAGATGCAAATATGTGAAAATGAAAGATGTGGGGAAGCACAAACCTGTAACAGGTATAACTTTTTACAGAACCATTGTTCACCAAATTTGGATTCAGGTTTTCCAGTGGGACAGGGATATTCTTTCTGAAAAAAGAGTCTCGGTTTTGGGCTGTCCAGTCATAAGCACTTTAGAGTTGCTTTTTGGAGGATTTTAGTTTTGACTTAAACATTCAGGATCTTTTATGTGTTGATACAGAGCTGTCTTAGGAGCTTGCCAATGTCCAGTCATTAGCCCTGTAATTCACCGTGTCTGCAGTTGAGCTAATGCAACAAAGCAAGATTAAAAAACAAATCCAAATCCATTTTGGTATTTCTTTTTCCTTTACCTAGATTATTTCTGTGATCCATTTCAGGATGCAGCTTCTAAAACTGCTCTATATGCACAACTTTGCAGGTGACAAACTGCAGCAGCCAGGGCAAGGAACAGAAAGAGGGATTTTGTAACCGGCCTTGCCTCTGAGGAAAATGTGATGTGTCACTATGACAGTTATATACAGCCTAATACACAGTGCTGCATGGCTGGTTCCTGGCTGCAGATCTTAAGGATTTTGTCTTCCCTGCCACTGCCACCACCACCTATGGCCTCGCATTGCACTGCCACCACCACCTATGGCCTCGCATTGCACTGCCACAGTTGTTTGTAACTGCACTGGGGATCAAACCAGTGCTGGGATTAAAAGCAGCACCGTTTTCAGCAACACGTTTTTTTAACTGAGATCAGTTCGTTTTTCCAGTTTACTGTGTGGCCTTACATACTGCTGTGCTGACACAGCTGTTGAAAACGTACCTTTTTTGGTGGCAAGACAGGATATGGGAATTCCTACTGTTTTTGCTGGCTTGCCACCAAAAAAGAGGGACTGTCTGTGAAACCACCCCCACTCCCGGTTATCCTGAAAGCAAGGCCAGTTGCTGAAATCTCAGCAATTAACTAGAGAAGCTATTTCTGAGCCTCGGGGAATGTCTCATACCTGTAGTTAGTGTGCTGCTTCGTTCTGTTGTTCTCCTCTTGCTTGGAGAACAGAACATTTTCTTGACATGTTTGGAAAGTAAGTTAGACCACTGCAGTTATTCAGCTGTAAGTTGTACTTGATGTATGTCCAAAACTGTATTTTTCAAGTGAGCTCCAGTGAATGCAGTAATAGTAGAAATCTTTCAATGGGCTTTCTGTTTAGTGAAATAAAATGAACAGTTGTTTATCACTGTGTGGAGTGTTTGGTATGCAGCCAATAATAATTTAGTAGTTAGTAAGAATTCTGTTAAAACATACATACTTATCTTGCTTTCTTTTCTTGAGTTTCTACTTTCTGCCATGCAAGAAATCATTCCAATGGTCTTAATGGCCATTCCATCACTTGCAGGTGAAATCTGGAATGCTATAAAACCTCATTTACCCTTTCCTCAGTCTCTCATTGTATATCCTTGCTGTATTCCCTAGACCACCCTAGATAATTTCTTTTTTTGCTTGGATTTAAGACCATAAAAAGCTATGAAGCAATAACGTAAGTACTTGTGTGATGCAGATTTTTCATGTGGTTTTTCCTCAGGCCTTTTCCCCTCATCCAACCTGTATGTACATGATTAATGACCTCTCTTTGATCAAGCTTCTACATGCATTGCCACTGCAAGTTTTGCTTCGTAAAGTAACATTCAGGCATCTGGATTGCACATGGTGATTTCTTTAGGTTTTTTTATCTAGAATCTTCCTTTGCATAAATGACAAACTGAAATAAAAGAGCAGAAAAAGACCTTGCATCATATCTTAAAATATCATCCACGGAGATCTTGAGTTCTTGCAACTCCTACAAAGTTCATGGAAGTTGCAGCTGCTCAGCATCACTCAGGGTCAGATATTTAGTTTCTTGTTCTTCACATTAATGTTTTTATTCGATCCAAAGCAGGTGCCATATTCTTATTTGCAAAACTACTTTTCTTTCCTGGATAAGGAACTAAGATAAGAGTATTAAATTCATTAAAATAGTTATCTATCACCATGGGTATAAAAAGCTGGTCTGCCCAGCTAAAAGAAGGTGTGTATAGAACACCGTGCTTTGTCCAGATAAATTATGGATTTGATGGGAAACAATAGCACAAACTCTGATCTCAGTCATGCTGCTGTAAATCCAGAGTTATTCCGTTTATTTGATTGGCTTTTTGTGTGTGTGTCTTTAACAGTATAATTAAGAGCAGACTTCGGTGCTGAGATGTTAATCCTGTTCTTGGACTAGGAGCAACAGAAAGTCAGCGCAGTCATTCAGGTCTGAGAGAGTGTTAATGAGGAGTTAGTTACAAGGCAATTACTACTGCCAGGAATGCTTAGTGCTTAAAGGAGATATAGTTGCTTCTTTCAAAATAGCTTCAACCCAGCCCTCAGTAAAGTTGAGGAGAATCCCGAGCATTGTGATTATACATTCCATTCTTGTGTGTCTGAACCAGCCTGGGATTTGTACTGATGCAGGCTTCAATCACACGGGGTTATTTTTTGCTTTGAAAGGGCATTTACGTGCATAGGGGTGCAGATAAATCTTGAATACACTAAGATCCAAGGTCTTTGACATCTCACCGGCTTCTGCATCTCAGTGCCCATGAGAACCAAGTCTGCAGTCAGAAGCAGTTTGAATTTGCTTCTGGATGGGTTATAACATGCCAAACTGAGCCACAGGTTTCACTCCACAGCTCTTGAAGGAGCACAAAACACGCGTCTCCTTTCTGTGGGTTTTATGTTTTACACAGCTTGGCTGATGGTTTTGCCAGGTTGAGCCATACACAGTTAATTACATCAGTGCTAATTTTCTATTTCTTTTGCACTTACTGAGTGATTCAGGCTCATACTGTCATAACAGGGTAATACAATAGTGGTGTCACTTTGTTGTTAAAAGACAGTTTAGGACAGTTAAGGCTGTATGTGGAGAGCAGGATTCTGGGGCCCTGTCCTGGTGTCTGTCACAGCCAAGTCACAGCTTCAAGGCTGGGTGAGACCTGGATGCCTGTTGTTATCCTCATTCCTTTTCCCCAGTGCCCTTGCTCCTTTGAAAGGAAGCACACTCCAAACATGTCCTTGACCAGGGCCACTGGGGAGCCCACAGCCTCACGCACACCGTGATCCACACTTGCCATACCTTTTAGCAATGACCTTGCCCAAGGCAGCATTGTTTCCTGGCTTGCTTTAACTATTAGAAAAGAAAATGTCGTTTAATATGGTCTAATCTGATCTTGCTTTATGTCAGGGAGTTTATATGTGTGGATGTCAATAGCCATTACTGTAGCAAGAGAGCTGTTCCTGCATGTGGCTATCTTCTACCCTTAGTAGAAAACTGCCCTTTCATTTTTGGA